CAGGCTCATAAAAGCGGTGCCCTCATCCACCGTACTCACCCAATCTGGCACCATGTGACTTCTGGTTCTTCCCTAAAGTCAAAATGGCCATGAAAGAGAAACATTTTGATTTGATTCAGGACATCAGGGAAGCAACAACAATGCTACTGAAACACTCAGGAGATACTAAGTCTTTTACTTAATTCATTCACCATATATTTTGATCATGCCTTGTACATCTAACTAAAAAGCAAAATTGGTTAGTTTGTTTTTCTAGTACTCGTATTGAACCCTGGGCCTTTGTGCTGAGCCACATCCTCAGTCCTTTTTTTATTTTTTATTTTAAGACAAGAGTCTTGCTAAGTTGCCATACTGGACTCAAATTTGTGATCCTCCTGCCTCAGCTTCCAAGATTGTTGGGATTACAGGCATACACTGCTACACTTGATGCAAATTGCATTTACATTTGTGTTTTATATCCTGCTGTGTCTGTAAATGGAAGGGAAACAGGATAAACAGAAACTTGCTTAGTAGCACTCGACAAGCAGATTCAGCCTAAATGATTTATTACATGGTGAATTTACACACAGGAGTGGTTTCCACTTTTTGTGTCCTAGCAATAATGCTGTTATGAACATGCCCATACACGTTTTTTTTTTTTTTTTTTGGGGGGGGGTGTTTTTATTTTAAAGAGTAAAAGAAGGATAACAGTAATGGGGGGGGCTTACCAAATTACAGACAAAGTGGTAGGAAATTATCAATGGTTATTGTTTTACATATTGTTATCTACAAGATAGTTTCTCAGGAAAACAGATAGACAAATAATAGTGAGTTACAGACAAAAGAGGTAGATTATCAGTAGTTGTTGTACTCTACTTAGGTATCTTCAAAAGAAAATAAATAGAACTATACATGAGTGACCTATTGAATAATCATTAACTATTCTCAATGGTTGTTGTAGGAAACACATAATAATAAACATGCATCCATTTAAGAAATAGGATAGGAACAATACAAACATTACAGAGTTATGGATAGATCAGTAGGAAAATATCAATGGCTGCTGTAATACATGTTGGTATCTTAGAAGTGGTTTCTCAGGAAGACAGAGATACGCAAGAAGGATCTAACAAGTAGTTACAGCCTAAGGGTTGTCAAAAATCAAGTGAGCCATCTGGGGCAAAAGTCATATTTTGTAGCGTTTTCTCTCCAGCCTCCCATCGCATTGGGACCCCACAACCAGTTAGTGTCCTCTCCCCAACTGTCAGCAGGAATCCTGTTGCAGACTTCTCCGGAGCTCCACCACAGCCTGTACTGTCAGGGGAAGAATGGCTTCCAGGGAGTCTCCGCATGGCCCATACACGTTTTTATGTGGAAATGGGTTTTCATTTCTCTTCAGAATTCCAGCCCATGTGAAATCTAGGTTTGCACCTGAGGAGCTACCAAACCATTTCCAGAGCAGTTTTCCCACTGTCTTCCCCTACAGCAAGCAGGCTGTGAGCCTCCATGTCACTGCCGACTGTGGGTCATTTTCCTGTTGTGTGGGTCATGATCTTTCTGTCGCACCCTGTCCCTCCTGTCACTGCCACCTGGCATCAGACTGCCTTGTCAGCCACTGTGGCACTACCCCATCCCTTTAGTGGCTGTGGATCAGGTATCTGCCAAGAAGATGCCTTCCTTTCAAAGGGAGTTGTTTGGTCTGGGCTTCTGGACTCATTTCAGAATGGCTTCACAGTGTTGGGGGTCACACAGAGCTGGGCTGAATCCTTGTTCGCTGCTGTGTGGCCTTGACCAGGTCACTGTGGAAGTTCCCTGAGCTTCAGTTCCTCCCTGTGAGATGAAGGTTACGCCTCTGCCCTCCTGGGGCTGCAGAAGTGAATTCGCATAACAGGCACTGAACAAATGGTGGCAGCTTCTGATGCTGTTGCTCCTTTCTCATCTGTTCTGTGAGCCACATAGAACATCACGTGAGATCCACAGCAGTCCTGAGAGGTCTGAAAGACTGGACATGTGGGCCCAGCAGGTAGAATGGTGGCCTGCGGGACACACATCAGCAAGACCCCCTGTGTCTACGTGGTCCCCTGCCTGCTCCTCAGCACCTGATACTCAGATGAGGAGAACTACTTGCTGTCAGATACAGCTGTCCCTTAAATGCCAAGAGTTGCATGCTATGTTGCTTTGCTTCTTGTTTCAGTTTACTTTTGGTACTGTGATTTGAACCTGTGACCTCCGACTATGTACATTCTCAACTGTGCGCTCCACCCCCAGTGAGACCAGCACACAGAAAGTCTCCAGCCCCACTCTAGTGAAGAAAGAACTCAGACACTGTCACACACTCCAAATACTGCAGCACGTGGGGCTGAAGCAGGACACTCGCAGAAGCACACTGTGATAGTGTAGTCTCCTGGCACCTGGTGGAAATGAGATCAAGAGATGGGCTCTGTTTCCGAGCCAGAGGCCTGGGCAGCAGCCAGAACAAGGCAGAGGTGCAGAGCATGTTGTCCTGAATACCAGGGAAGGTGGAAGGTGGCAGGAAGCAGGAGCAAGAGTGCATGAAGGACAAAGGGACACAGGTTCCTACCAAGGATGGCAGAGAACTATTTTTTTTTGGGGGGGGGGTACTGGGAATCGAACTCAGGACCTTGCACTTGGCAGGCAGGCACTTGTGCTGCTGAGCTATTTCCCTGGCCCCAGAGAACTATTAAACAGGATTCAGTAACAGTAAAAGGGATCAAGTTACACCCCACCACACACACCCTGTGCTAGGGCCTGAAGCCAGGGTCTTGACACTGAGCTACACCCCTAGCCTTTTTAAAAAATTTGTATTTTAAGGCAGTCTCACAAAGTCTCTGCATTATCCAGGCTCTGCTGAAACTTGAAATCCTCCTGCCTCAGCCTGCCAGAGTGCTGGGATTAAAGGCATGTACCATCATACCTGCTAACATTTTAGGGTCTTAAATCCTTATTTCTTATTTTATTTTATTTTATTTTATTTTATTTTATTTTATTTTATTTTTGTTTTTTTCCGATACTGGGAATCAGACTCACGTCCTTGCGCTTGCCAGGCAGGCGCTGTGCCACTGAACTAAATCCCCAGCCCCAAATCCTTATTTCTTAAAGGAAGAGTGGAGTTAGCTGGGTGTAGTGACACAAGCCTCTAGTCAGAGCACTCTGGGAGGCTGAGGCAGGAGGATCACAAGTTCTAAACTGTAGTCTCCAAAAAAAAGAGGACTGGGAATGTAGCTCAGGATGAAGGCCCTGTGTTCACTCCCTACTACAAGAAAGAAGGAAATATAGAAAAGAGGGAAGAAAGGAGTTTAAGATAGAACACTGATGCTATAATACAGAAATTACCTTAAGCAGATACATTCTTAGTATTACTTAACAGCGTGTGTGGTAGATTAACTAGTGGGCAACTTGTGACATTCAGCTGAACTGAATGAGCGCGGTGCTGGGTGTTGAGGGCCCATCTGAGGATTGTTGCCAACAGCATAAAAGGAGAACAGGAGCAGAAGACGGTGCTGTGGATTCTCCTGGAGAAGCTTGTTGCGCTGGCTGTCCTGATAGGAACTCAGCTGTTCTCATCAGAGGAGGAACTTGGGTCCTGTAAATTATGTGTCCTGTATTAAATCTATTTCCTTGAAAACCCTGACTACAACGTGTTCATACTATAGGTGTGATCCAAAACAAGAGGAAAGGACGGACTAGTGCTGACCGTGCACGTGTGTCTTAGCTTGTGGTTTTTGGAGTCTGTGGGGCACCTCAGAGCTGCATGCTGCGCTGTGCCGTGCTGAGGGGTTGGGGCAGGTGAGCCCTGCCAGCTGCCCTGATGGACTCAGGCTCTGTTCTGGCCCCACAGCTGGACATAGTTCCTTCTTTCCTCGCCTCACCCTCTTCATGTCTCATGTCTTCAGCTTGGTGCTACCTACTAAGCTCTTCTTCAGTCTCTAAAGCTCCAAACACCCACTTGTCAAGCTGGCCCCAGAACCACCGTCAGACAGCCCCCTTCCCAGGCTCTGAGCTGAGCACCTCCCTGCTATGGCTCTGCTGAGGTCCATCCTGGATCCTGTCCCCCTCCCTCTGGATGGCACCAGTCTGGCTCTTCTGTGCATCTCCCACCTTCTCTTGTCTACGTACAGTCTCTGATCTTGTCCTGTAGACCTGTTCTGTCCACAGGGTCCTAGACACCCAGTGCAGTTCTAGCTCACAGTCAGACCTCCAGGATGTGGGCTCAGTGTAAGACACACAAGATGAATGAAGCTCCCTACTCCCAAGGAATCTGTCTCCCTCCAATCTTCCTGTCTGTGCTTGGCCACAGCCTCTTGAGCCTCTGTCCTGTACATGGACGTGCTGACTGGCCCCATTTTAAGAACTTGCACTGGCATCTCTTCTGTGTGCCATGCTCCTCCTCCCACACCTCTGTGTTCCTCCACCCTCCCAGTCTCTGTTGCTGCCACTCGAGCCCCAGCCCTCATGCTAAGAGTGGAGCAGGAAAATCACCTTCCGTGGGAGCACTGTGTCCAGGAACTGGGCATTGATCTTCGTGTTGGCTCTCCCGTACCTGGAGTCATCCTGGTTTCCTCCTCTCCCTCCGGAGGGTGGTGCTCGGTGTGTGTGTGTGGGAGGTGGTGGTGACCGTGGTATCTAGGTATAGTCGCCCCGTGCTCTGGTCCTCCAGGACCTGAGGCACAGACACCAGGTAAGTGAGCCACCCTGGGGTGCAGGGAGTGCAGGAGGTCAGTTTCCACTCAAGTGAGGTTTGCACACACCAGCTTGTGCCTGTCCTGTGCAGCTCAGTGCAGAGGCAGGGACTCCAGACATCACTGCAGATGCTATGCCCTGGAAGACTGGCAAGGCCATGCTGCTGTGTGGCTGGCTTTGTGACAAGCATGCCTGTCACCCAGGCCGCTCAGTTCGTTTGTCCTTCTATTGTCCTCCTTTGCAGAATGGACTTGGGGATTGGATGCAAATTGCACTAGGAAAGATACAGGTGCATCAAATTGTGACCTCTCCCTTTGTAGATGTGAACGATTAGAAGAACAACTAAACGACTTAACAGAACTCCACCAGAATGAAATCTTGAACTTAAAGCAGGAGTTGGCTAGCATGGAAGAAAAAATTGCCTATCAGTCCTATGAACGGGCCCGGGACATCCAGGTAAGTGTAAAGAATAAGGCTTTGTAAAAGCAAACACTAAGGGTTAGCAAAGAAGACAAGAGGAAAGTGGGAGAGAATTATCTTCAGAAAAACTTGCTCGCTGTGATACACCTGCCTTCTCCATGACTGAGGCGCTTTTCTGGACATCTGTGCAGCTCTCGAGAGGTTCACCTGCCTGGCAGCTGTGTCAGAATTGCAGGAAACCAGAGAGTTCCATCCACTGGTTCCTGTTTCCAGAGCTGCTCTGACCCTCCTAAGTCATCTCACCTCTTCTCTTACATAGGAGATGAGGCTTCTGTCCTAGCTGCCAAATCCACCTCTCAGGCAGGCACATCACCGTGTTTGGCAGTACTGTTTTAGACAAACAGCCTGTTTTATCCCATGGAGAAACAGGAATTTTTGTTTGTACCAAGAAGTCCAACTGAGGGAGCAGGGCTCAGTGGTTTCCTACAAAGGGCCTCTTGAAAGAACCTGGTCCAAGAGAAGGGAAGCAGCCTAGAAGCTCAACGGAGCCACCAGCAGCTGCCAAGGGCACCTTCTCCAGGCCTAGCATCCTGTTGACATTTCCGGTGGTCTTCCCTGGTTCTGGACAGAGGAGCACCTAGGCCACCTACTCTGCAGCTGGCTGCAGGCCCATGTTGCCTGTACTACCTCACCCCTGGGAAAGCAGGGTGATTGAAACCCAAGGCCAGGCACTGCTGGACACAGTTAGGGACACGGGCTCTGGTCCTTGGGTAAACTCTGGTCCAAAGTCTTAGCTGTGAGGGGAGCACATCTCTCATGATGCTTGGTCCCTTGTGTGAGAGCCACCGAAGGGAAGGATTTCCTCATCAGGGAGGTCATTCCTTCCCACTGATGTCAGGTGCTGGCTGACTTAGAAAACACAAGGCAGAGTATGGAGGGAGGCATGCTCAGAAGACACCCACAGCAGCAGTTGTAGGTTGAAGAAGGTGGAAACAACCTAAAGTCCCCAGGAGGGAACTGACTGAAACACTGGGACACACCCAGTCTGCAGCATGCTGGGCAGTGGATAAAAGGACAGAGGATCTCCAGGTATTGACCTGGAGCAGGCTCCAAGACCTGCTATGCAATGGAAAAGTAACTTGTGGGTGGGCTCCTAGAGAATAGTGTTGCTGTGGAGCTGGGAAATAAAAGCCAGTCCCTAACCCCTCTAGGTCCTTAGTTGCAAGGCTAGGAACTTACCAGGCTGGATTTTCACATAAAATTGTGTTTATTTTAAATAACTATGTGTGTCCTGGGTAATTTAGATTAACAATTTTTAGATGAAAAAAGGTCAGATACCTGAGGTATTGTTGTTAAAATGTGCTAGACCAAATAAATTAGTATCGCCAGCTTCCTGGAGGTTCCAGGATTCAGAAGCAGGTGATACGCACCTGGGGGAGTCGTAGCTGGGCTGGTGGGCAGCGCGTGTGTAGGGCAGCAGGCCTAACCTCCTGTCCTGTCCTGTCCTGTCCCACCCTATTGCATTCCACCCCTCCTGTTCTGTCCTGCAGGAGGCGCTAGAGGCGTGCCAGACCCGCATCTCCAAGATGGAGCTACAGCAGCAGCAGCAGCAGGTGGTGCAGCTGGAGGGGCTGGAGAACGCCACTGCGCGCAACCTGCTGGGCAAGCTCATCAACATCCTCCTGGCTGTCATGGCCGTGCTCCTGGTCTTTGTGTCCACAGTGGCCAACTGTGTGGTCCCCCTCATGAAGACGCGCAACAGGACGTTCAGCACTTTATTCCTCGTGGTTTTTGTTGCCTTTCTCTGGAAGCACTGGGACGCCCTCTTCGGCTACATGGAGCGGTTCTTCTCGCCCCCCAGATGATGCTGCCGCGCACGGTGCTCCTGCCCACGGTGCACATGGAGAGCAAGACAGCGGCTGGCCTGCTCGGGAGCCCCTGCAGCAGCGGAAGAGTTGAGTGAATCTGTTTACATTTAGAATAATGTTTTTTTCTTCAAGAGACGCAATTGCAATAGTATTTTTTAGATTTTATCCAAGAAGTTTTTTTGGGCAAAAATCTTGGATCATTTTTATGTAGCATGATTTCCTTGGGATGCAAATCTTAAACAGTCCTTTAACATGAACCACAGTTGGGCACACTGAAGGGCATTCAGAATCGTGGCTTGAAGGACTGCACTCAGACCCCTGAAGAGACACGGAACCAGGCAGGACAGCAGTTACCACACTCTCCCTGCCTGGGCCCACTCCACGCCCAGGCTGACTACTGTGAAATCCGACCACATTCCAGGTCTGAATGCTTGGATCCAGGGTGAAGGACACATACGTTCCCTGGCTTCTCACCCCACTTGGCCGCTGGTGCGAACCCTGGACACACGCGCGCTGGTGAACACGGGCCCTGAGCCTGCCAGGAGCCGTGAGAGCACCGTGCCCAGAGGGGCCCTGCACAGTCCTGCAGCGTTGTGAAGTGGCCCTCCAAATCCTTCATTTTCAGCAAAATCCCTTGGCCACACTTTTAAGGTTTTTTTTATATGTGTATAGTTACCAACTTAAAAATAAAAACCCGAACCGCATACTTGAAGAATGTAATACTCAAACTCTCAGTGCTTCCTTATGGTTTCTAATAGGATTTTTATTATTGTTATTATTATTATTGGGTTTTTTTGGAAAGGGTTGGGAAGGTCTTTTATTTTTCCTTTGAAATAAAGAAGTGCTGTTTTTAAATGAAGATGTGTGGATATGTAAGTGTGCTGCCCCTCCTGTCCGGGACAGTTCAGGGAGTGCCATGCTGTCCACACTGCCCTCTGCAGCCCCTTGCTCAAGATGCAGCTTGCACTTCCTCCTGTGGCTGCTGCTGCTTTCTGGTGTCCCGCTGCCCCCACAGTCACTCCTGGGCGTGGCTTGTTTGGAGAGCAAGGGGTGTTCAGGGAGGGGCTCTTTCCGCAGACCAGCGTGTTAGGGCTGGAACTGTGCAGCCCAGGTAACTGTTCCTCCGGTGACCTTGGGCTAGGCGTGTCTTTAGGAGAAGTCGAGACTGTTCTGAGAGTCGTATGTAATTCCTCATATGCCCTTAATTTATTGTTTAGCACCCCGAATTACCGAAACCAAAGTGACATGGAGTCTTCTGTCTGCATTCTGGCCCCAGCACCCTTAATTAATTGCAAAGCTTTATTCTGTTTGCCTAAGAGAATCAACTGAGGGGGATTCTCCTGAAGAACAGAAAAGGAAACGGCAGGTTAGAAGGACCCAGATTGTGAGTGTAAAGTGTTGCCAGCTTCCTTCTAATCGAGACTTACTAACCTAGCTCTGCTCAGCAGACTTTTTATAGGCAGTGTAGGAAATGAGCTGAGCCTCCGTCCCCACCCTATAGCCAGGTCCTTTGTCTTTGTGGAATCTAAATGTGTAGAGCTTATCTAGAGAGCCTGACTAGTCCTTTCCTATTTCCTTAGTCTGGAGTCACAAATGCTGTTCCCTCACAGCCTCGTTGTGTGCAGCCATGTAAGGCGCAGGGGTGCAAACCCTTGCCTGCAGAGAGCGCCAAGCCAAGCGCGCTTTGCCCGTTGCCCATGCTGGGACAGCTCGGGGACGAGGCCGGCCCTGGCTTGCCTGTCAGAAAGGACAGCTGACATGACAGCTGCAGCCTCCTCGTGCTGTGGCAGGCTGGCCTTCTCAGCCGGCATGTTGTCCCCATAACCACGTTGACGCTTAACTCAGGTACCCCAGTCCTCGCCCATCACCTCACAGCACCCAGAGCAGGGACCACGGGTGTGATTGCTCTTTTTCAAAAGGTGTTCATGCCAAAACCAAATTGTCCCCAAGCCTGGTGTTTAACATGTTGAATTTGCCTGAAGATATTGCAGTGACCTTAGCAGCAGTGTCAGGAGAAACCCTGACCCTGTCAATCCAGCCGTTTCTGCTCTAGCTTAATGCTCAGAGTAGAGAAGAACCCCACCAGGCTGTTGGAAAGAGGCTGTAGCTACAGTCCTGGTTTTCCCAGCACACAGCCTTTGAGGCTCCTGCTTCCCAGAGCTCCCTCGCAGGCACTAGACAGCAGTCACTGTGACAGCCTAAGGGCAATCGCTCTTAAAGGAAGGTTTCACCTCTAGAAAGCCTCCCAGAGCGGCACCAGATGGGCCAGGCTGATTCCCCTTCCTGCTCAGACTGTCTTGGGAAGGATGTCAGTGCAGGTCAGGCACAGAGTGGCTTTCTCACTGTCCTGTCCCCTGATCATTCACAAGGCCCAACTGTGGTCTGTGTTTTTAATGCTCTCTAAACCCCTGTGTCTGTTCCTATGCCTGCCCATCCTTCCCACTGCGCAGCCTGGTTACCTTTGAGTTTCTCTGCATCGTGGCTGTTCTTGGATTCTCCTGTCTGTTCAGACCCCTTATAACTTCACACTATGGTCCCGTATCCATTCTGAGTAGAAACCTGTCACTTAATGCTTCTCTTAAAAAAAGACAGTGTGCACCCTGAAAATGAAGCATTCCTTGACGCTGGCTGTGTAGTAACTGGGGGCCGCTCAGTGCACCTCACCAGCAAGGAAGGCTTCCTGCTCCACCGGTCCTCACCATCTAAATGGAGGTGAAACCTTCTACGTCTCGAGCAGGTCTTCTCTCCCCTGTCCTGCAGGGTGAGATTTACTCCAGGAGGAGCATGGGAATCGAGCCTTCCTCGCTGGCCATGCCCAGCAGGTCGTGACAGCCTGTGGTTCTGTGTCTGACGCCATGCTCCACTATGGTGCAGCCAGAATGCTGGCCTCCACATGGGTTCTCGCAGGGAGCTGCCCTTCAGCTTTGGGAAATACACATCCAGAACCAAAACCAACGTTAGGATCAACAAACCGACTGGCATAGACAAAAGCATCATTCCTACACCACCTGCACTGAAACCTGGGATTTCGAGTGTGGCTCTGAGAGTTTTTTGTGGTTTTGTCTTTTTTTTTTTTTTGTACCAGGAATCGAACTCAGGACCTTGTGTTTGCCAGGCAGGCGCTGTGTCGCTGAGCTGTATCACCGGCCCTGAGAGTTTTAACATTTCTGTGTGTTGTGTATGCTAGGGGACCCCTCTGTAGGGCCTGACTACTAGACTGTGTGTTTTATCCAAGTGTGTAAGAATAAAAACTCACATGCACGAATTGGGAGTAAAGGCACTTGTGAACGCGTGAACGTTAACACTGTAGTTGATAGACCTTAAGCTGCTAATTGTTGAGAGAGAATTAAATTTATGTTCTGTCTGGTTGCTGCCGGTTGTCATTAGCGCTTTTACTGTACATACAAATGGAAATAAAGACCTCAGCTATTAACCTGGTGGTCAGACTCGGGTTTCTTATTTTTGTACATTCAGTGTCCAGTGGCAAGTATTTCAAACTGAAAACTTTCCCCTAGTTTGCACATTAAAAAGTATGAGTGTGTGTGTGCGCGCGTGCGCATGCTTCTGCACATGCAGTATCTGGAAGCTGTAACTGCAGCGGGGCCCCTGGAACAACATGCCAGGTTGGCGCCCCTGCAGCTCCATTAGACTCCTGTGCAGTTCTCGGGAGCAGCACTCAAGTAGCATTGCCCAAAACCAGCATCTGCTGACCCAGAGTGGGCACGGTAACGCCTGTCCATCCTTCCAAGACCTCTAAAACTGTTGTGATGGTAGGAACACACCTGGTTAAGCATTTAACACTCCAAGGTACTGTATGTACACATGAAAACGTTGTTGTCCAGCCTAATTATACCTACGATGTTGAAGAAGTAAACTGACTTTTTTTTTTCAATCAGTGATGCTGGATTTGAAGCCCAGCCTTGTACATGCTACACACCTGCTCTGCCACTGAGCTACATCCCAGCCATCTTATTTTTTTTACTTCAAGACGTGGTCTCACTAAGCTGCCCAGGCCAGACTCAGACTTGCCTTTCTCCTGCTTCAGCCTCCTGAGTAGCTGAGATTACAGGTGTGTGCCACCAGGCCTGGCCCTAGGAATAGTAACTTCTAGCAGAACCTCTTCCTATGAACCTGGGGAGGCCTCTGCAAGACCAGAAGCCCTAGACTTGCCTGTGATGGGAACTACAGGGGCCCTGATGCCTCCGTCCTTCACAGCCCCAATGAGAATGCCAGGTGCAGGCCCAGCTGGCGCACGCGCTCTCATCTCTCACCCACCTACAAACTCGGTCACAGCCTGGCCCCGCTAGAGGTGTGGCGAGAGCAGGGACTCTCACAACAGGTGAGAGCTTTAAAAATTGTTGGGGGAGCAAGAGTGCCTCAGCTTCTTGACATGATGAGCCAGGATGCTGCGTACAGGCGTCGAGGGGATGCGCTTCCCAGCCCTAAGGGGCTTCACAGGCAGCACCGTGAGCACCACTGGATGCTGGAGTTGCACTGTGCATAAGGGGTGCACAGAGCAGCCGTGATGATGGGATTTATTGCGGAGGTTGTATTGAAAACGGGGAGATGGAAGGCTGGTAACCTGAAAAGCTGTGGAAAACAGACTGGGGAGGAGGGGTGGGCAGGGCCAGCTAGGAAGTGTACGCCTCAGCCCGAAGACCCAGATGTACCTCTGTAACGCCCCAGGCCACATGGACACGGCAGACTTTAACCCCACATCCCTAACTACACCCAGCACCGTGCAGTTAAGCAGCTCCTGCTCCACAGCCATGCAGGAAAGGAAGCTGAGGTGCGACTGTCCAAAGCCACAGTTAGGAAAGGGAAGCTTTACAGTGGGAAAGAGGTATATGCCACGTACGTAACAAAAGGTGAGTATCCACAGTATGTGACTAAGCAGAAATCAGTAAGAAAAGAGCCAGTAGAAAAATACAAAAGGTTGTGAAGAGATAGTCACAGAAAAATAAATGGCCAGTAAGCACTCCAAAGCATGCCTTGCTTCCGGTGCAGCCCGTAGGAAATGAGAACAGGCACTTGTGTTTTTTGCTTGTTTGGGGGTTTGGGTGTTTTTTGTTTTTTTGTTTGTTTGGTTGGTTTTTTTGGTACTGGGAATCAAACTCAGGACCTTGTGCTTGCCAGGCAGGCCCTTGTGCCACTGAGCTAGAGCCCCGGCTCTAAAAAGGCAGTTGTGGAAGAATGGGTCATCACCGAGTGTGCCAAGAACCATCAACTGTCCGTGTGACGTCAACTGTCCGTGTGACGTCAACTGTCCGTGTGACGTCAACTGTCCGTGTGACGTTAACTGTCCGTGTGACTCTGGGAGGAGCAGAAGTGAAGCAGGACTTCATGCTTGGCTTCTGTAAAATACGAGTCTCTGAGAACACATTTGTGGGGGTTTTTAACATATAAAAACTTTTTGAAAAGAAACCAGGTCTGTTGCAGAGAGGCAAGGAAAGGATTATGCTCCGGTGCCAGGCTAAGCCGGGCCATTTCTGGCTGAGGAGCGTCCCTCGAGGGCCTCTGCCAGTGCAGCCACCCTGCTGCCCCAGGACTCAAGCTGGTGCTCACAGGGTGTCCCGCTGCCAGGCCCTTAAGACAAGAGGAAGAGTGGGGACAGAGGTGTGCAACCTTCACCCCCAGCACTGACGGCACCTCCATACAACCACCATGGAGGTGTGCGAAGCCAAGGAAACCAAGTCACACTGGCACAGGTAGGGCACACCTGCAGGCAGCTGGGGGAGGCTCCACGGAGGCAGTAGGGTGTCCAGGCTGGGAGACAGTGGGGTTGTGGCTTCTTTTTATTCTTTTTTTAGTCAGAGCAAGGGATTTGTACCTGCTAGCTAGGTGCTCTACCACTGAGGCACACCCCAGCCAGAGGCAATGGTTTAGTACCAGCGGGAATGGGTGAGGTCCTGCAGGTGGCAGGAGCAGGGCTGGCAAAGCCACAGAACCACAAGGCCAAGGGGTTAAGCATGGCTGGAAGCCTGGAGGGAGATGGGAAGCTGTCACAGGGAAACTGGGGGAGCCATGAGGCCTCGGGGTGCCGCTCAGAGAGGGCGCGCATGTAACACACAGGCTCCAGGCTCCAGGCTCCCCCGCAGCGCTGCAGAGGGGTTGTGAGCAAGCGCCAAGCCTATGCACCACGTGACCGTTCGAGAGGCCAGGATAGCAAGATGGCCGCTTTGTGCCTACCAGTAATAATAATGGTACAGCCCTTTCCCAAGGAACAAGAGCCTCTTTCTCGTGTCATGCAAATCAGTGGGGTGGTTTAAAAATGCTCTCCTTGGTGGTGTTTGGTATTTTGCCTGTTGATCCTGTAAGGTGGGGAGCTTTGCAATTTTTTTCCTAACCAGAAACTGTGTAGAAAACTCAGAGTTCTTAAATAAATAAATAAATATATAAATAAATAAATTAATTAATTAATTAATTCAAAAATCCCTGGTCCCCTCGGCAGAAGAATCTTTAAATCCCGGAGCAAGAGCACTTGACAAAATTTATTCGGTCCTCCAGGCTTCCAATGCTTTCAGCATTCAGAAAATGTTATTTATCTTTTGGAAGAATTCAGCTTGGTCATTACTGGATTCAGAGATACAGCCAGCCACGGGAAAAGGGCACTCGCAGTAGGCACTGTGCCTCAGAACGTGACGGGGACTTGGTGAAAGAAGCAGTCCAGCAAGGCCTGTGGTGGTGACAGTGAGCGCTGCCCACCGTCCCCTGCGGTCAGCATCGTTAATTCCTGGAGGCGCCCTCAGGACAAACCTGGACCCCTCCCACTCCGCAGGATGCGTCACCCTCTCATCTCCCCAGCCGAGTCCCAGAGCTGCGTCCAGGCTGACCCTTGCCGAGCCCGGCTCTCAAGTTGGTGTTGGGATCCAAAACTTCAGCTATGTCAGAGAACACACCAGCCAGAGAGACACCAGAGACCGCTTGGCCATGGAGAGAAACTTACAAAGGGAGGCATGATGACTGCACTGGAAAATACGGTTTCCTTTCTTTCTTTCTTTCTTTCCTTCTTTCTTTCTTTTTCTTTCTTTCTTTCTTTCTTTCTTTCTTTCTTTCTTTCTGAAGGTGCTGTCAGTGCTGGAGATGAAGGCTGGACACCTAGGGTTTTTTTTGAGACAGGGTCACACTCTGTAGTATAAGCTGGCCTTGAACTTGTTTTTATGTACCCTAGGCTGGCCTTGAACTCCTGGCAACCCTCCAGCCTCAGCCTCCCCAGTGCTGGAATTACAGGAGGAAATACTGTTTCTACTTGCAGTTTTTAAGCCAGGTCAGGGATCCTGGAGCAATGTGTGGCATATAATAGGTGCTCGTTAAAAGGGAACTTGCCAGGTGTGGTGGCACATACCTGCAACCTCAGCTACTTGGGAGGCTGAGGCAGGAGGATCACAAGTTCCAGACCAGCCTGGACAACTTAACAGGATCAAATCTCAAAATTTTAAACAGATGAAAATAAAAGGCAGGGAGGAATAGCTGAGGAGACAGCTCAGCACTTCAAAGCTGCTACTTACTCAATCCTATGCTGTCAGTCCCAGAGCAAAGCACTTGATAAAATTTATTCGTTCCTCTAGTCTTCCAATGCTTTCAGCATTCAGAAAATGTTATTTATCTTTTGGGCTCAGTACCACAGAAAATCAAAAACTGTACAGCGTTCACTGTCCTCACCTCACTTCCGGCCCGCCAGCTGCCCTGGGGCGAAGGAGGCACCATTTCCATTCTGCGGATGAAAACAAAAGCAGGAGAGTCTGGGTTTCTTGCTGTACAGCAGTCAGGGCCCGGAAGGGGCCGAGTATGACCCCAAAGCTCTCTCCTCCTACAGCTGCTGCCCAGGACCTGAGATGCAGGGCGCTTGCCTGGGTGTGCGAGGCCGTAGGCAGCAGCAAGCGTGCCTTAGACATGATGTGAGCTTGGGAAGGCAGCCACCTGCCTTCTGCTCCTCTGTGTCCCGCTGCAGTCACCTGAGCCCCTCCCAGCCGCAGAGCCCCGGTGCCCAGTGCCCACTCACGGAACGCCCAGGCCCCAGCGGCGCTTCTGGCTGAATCCTGAGTCCGGCCGCGCCAGGCCCGGGCCTGGCGGAAGGCGGAGGTGGGTGCCTTCCGGGTGGGCAGCGGGCACTTTGCTTCTGAGGTGCAACAGTGCGCAGTCTCAGGAGAAAACGAGGCTGAAGGAACCCTCGCGGCAACGCGGCGCAGGAGGCGGAGCGCGGAAGGGCCGCTCACCGACCGGCTGCCCTGCGGGGGACACTCGAGGTCCTCGGCTAGTCAGAACGTGGGCGAAGGCACGAGGTCTCCGGTAGTTCAAAGCAAGACAGATGCCAGCTGCAGCCCTTCAGTTTCCACTGCCCGAGACAACTCGAAGCGCGGACCTGCGGTACGCTGAGAGAAGCTGGCGCGAGTAGACTAAAACTGTCTCGCACGGCCTTCCCAAATAAAGCAATGCATGATTTTAACATGGAGTTTATTCCTCAAGCACACATACGAGAACTTCCTGCATCAAAGCACAACTTCTGTCCATTTGAAATGCCCAGTCACATGGCTCCCTCCCCTCAGTTTAGCACCTTTTGGCCCCTGAGGTATTTATATTAAATGTACTGGAGGTTTTCAACAGGCCCTTCCCATAGAGAGCTAGAGGATGTCATTCGTGAAAGTTTGCACTTGACCTCTGGCCCACAGCTTGGAGGAAGAGCAATACCAAAGCCTGCCTGGGGCGCTGGGTTTGTCCCCAGCTCCAGCAAAGGCAGAGTCCCCTTGCTGGGCCTGTGGGCAGCTGGCAGGGTCCCGGAAGTCACACCTCTTCCCTCTGCGCTCAGCTCAGAACCCTTCATTCCTCTCCTTCTCCTCAGAAGAGCTCGTCCCAGGCTGGATTCACTGCCTCTGGAGCTCCCCAGGTCACCCTGACCAGGGTGTCCCTGTAGTCGTCAGCACAGAGGCCTGGACCCGAGACAGAAGGGGGGTACTGTTTTTCCCTACACTACAAATAACCCAGATCCTGGACTTTTACTTTGTACTTTTTCCTGTGGCCCTGGGGATCACACTCAGGGCACACATGCTGGGCAGGTGCTCTGACACTGAGCCACAACCCTGGTCCTGTTTTTGTTTGTTTTTTTCATTTGGGGTTTTTGTTGTTGTTGTTGTTTTGAGACATGGTCTTGCTATGCAGTTCAGGCTGGCTTTGAGTTCACTGTGTAGCCCAGGCTGGCCTTGAACCTGCAATGATCCCCTGCCTCAGCCTCCTGAGTGCTGGGATTACAGGCGTGTACCACCACACCCAGCTGGCCCTGGTCTTGTTTTGTTTTGTTTTAAAACAGAGCCTCGCTATGTAGCTCAGGCTAGCCTTGAACTAAGGATCCTCTTGCCTTAGCCTCACAAGTGCTGGGATTATAGGGGTGTCCATCCTACCTAACATATTTGTCCTTTTTGATTTTTTTGTTGTTGCTGGGGGTTTTTTTTTAGGGTGAAATTCACATAACATGAATTAGCCATTTTAGAACAAATAACTGAGCAGTGTCTGGTACAGTCACAGTACTGCACAGCGGCCTCCTTCCTGGTGTGAAGGCGCTCTCATCACCCCACAGGAAGCCCCACTCTCCCCTTCTCCAGCCAGCACCTAGGGCCGCCACATGCCTTCTGTCTGGTAGCTTCACCTCTCTTAGATGTTGCATACAAATGAATTGTATGCTGTGGCTGTTCGTGTCTGGCTTCTTCAACACAGCTAAATTTTCTGAGGCTCCTCCACATTGTATGGTAGCATGCATCAGGTTTCCTTTTGATGGCCAAATACTATTGCACTGTTGTGTGGAGACAGCACGTTTTGTTCATCCCTGGTGGACAAACACTGGGTTGCTTCATCTGCTGCTGTTGCTCTTGCTGTTGCTGTAGTGAACACTATGCTGCTTTGAGTCCCTGCTTGCGATTCTTGTGGCTAACACCTAGAAGTGTTCTGGGTCACATAGCAATTCCATGGCAAACTTCTTAAAGACGTACAGCCTCCCTCCGTGATGCCTGCCCCAATCTCTCCCTCCTGCCATCAACTCATGAACTCACAAAGTCGCTGCTTTGGCTTCTGGGTGGTTTTACACAATGCATCCTTCAGGAAAACAGCTCTTCCCTTCCCACTCCCTCAGTTCCCACAGCACTGACCCACGGGCCCCGGCTTGAGCGGGCCAAGTGGAGAGCCAGGATGTGGTTCAGGTTCCTGCCCAGCACTGTAGAAACAGAAAAGAACAATATTGTGTTAGCCGCTTTCCCATGGCCGGGACAAACACCCGACACCCCCAGAGTCCAGGAGGAGAGGTTTGTTTTGGCTCACGGTTTCAGTCCATGGTCAGCTGGCTCCAAGGCAGGAACAGGATGGTGCCGGGAGGGTGCACAGCCCATGGCAGCCAGGAAGCAGAGAGGGAGCGAAGGGAGGGGGCAGGGATAAGCACACAGCCTCTGAGATCACACCCCTCCAACAGCACACTTAGCCTTGAGCACATCCATGGGTGCCTCCATGGTCAAATCACAGTCCAGATCACACAGGAAGTTTCTGGGGAGCATTTTAGATCCAAATCATAACACTCCACCCTTGGCCCCCAAAAGCCTCATATCCATCTCATTATGAGGAATGCATTTCATCCATCTCTAAGAATTGTAAAGTCCTAACAGTTCCAGCACAGGTGAAAAGTCCAAATCCAAAGTCTCCTCTGAGAGTCAAGGCAAACTTTTAACTGTGACCCCCTGTAAAAATAAAAAAGAAAGTTGAACACTTCCAACCTTCAATGGCATAGGGTAAACATTACAATTCCAAAAGGGGGAATATCAAACCACAACAAGACTGAAATCCAGCAGGAAAACATTAAATCCTGTCATTCTGTGCCCAGCCCCCAGAGCAAACATGGTAAGACGTGAGCTCCACAGGGCTTGGGCAGCCCCACCACTGCAGCCTTCACAGCCTCTCCAGCTGTATCCACTCACTGCTTGCAGTCTCCTCAGCAGAAGTTTTGTGTTCCTGGCATCTCTGACATTCTTGGGTCCCCACTGCACTTTTGGCTTCACTCTCATAGCTTCACACACTGCCTCTCGGGCACACTGCCTGGCCTCCCAGGCCTTCTTGTGAAATCTGGGTAGAAGCCTTCCTGACCCCACAACTCTAGCATTCTACATGTCCATAAAATCAGCACTGCTTGGATAACACCAAGGTCTGCCCCTGAGTGTCTGGATAGCTGAGCCCTGTGAAAACCCATTTAGTTATCACCCTTAGTGCCAGTATCACACACCCTAGATCCAGCCATCTCTACAAAGCCCCACCTATGAGCACATGAGGCTTTGCGGGGGACATCTAGATACAAGTGGCCATGTCAGGCCACTGACCTTAATCTCAGTCTTCCACAGTCTAGGCTATGGGCAAGATGCAGACATGTTTTTTGCCAGACTGTAACACACATAGTCCAACTGCCAATGGAGTCCTCATTCCCAGTTGAAACCTCCTGAGCCTGGCCTTCACTATTCAAATTCCTATCAGCATCTCGTCTTCTGAGCTCCAGCCTCAATCAACCACCAATCTGTACTTCCAGCATTCTAAGGCTTCTCCAAGCTGCCTCTCCAAATGTTTCCAAACTCTTCCTGCAAGCCAGATCCAAAGGCTTCTGAACCACACTGCCAGGTAGGCTCACAGCAACAGCCCCCTCAGTACCAGTGTGTCATGGCCACTTTCCTATCAATGTCCGACACTGACAACTTAAAGAGGAAAGGTTATTTTGGCTCACAGTTTTGTCCTTGCTCCTGACCCTAACGAGTGTGGACATGATCTGAATCGGGCCATCAGGGCCAGCTCTGGGACTCCTGCCGGCTGAACTGGGACAGAGCGGCTCTTCTCCCTAGAGTCACTACCTGCAGAGCCCTTGTGGCACCCAGAGTCTCCAGGACCACATTCTCTGAGGCATGAAGTCACCAGGGAGGGGGCAAAGGCAAGACATAGAGAAGGGAGTCCGGGTCCTGAAAAAGCCAGGCCAGCCTGGATGCAGCTGTGCCTGAAGGCCTGTGGTATCATAAGTGAGTGGACTCTATTGCTGCAGCTAGCTTGCCATTTGCCCTCAGGAACCTGTGCAGCGGTGGACATGTACGGTAAGCTGCCGCTTAGATCTAGGAGGCGCCCTGCGTGCTTAGCCATGTGTCCATCCATCCCCCATCCCGCCATGTCCCTGTCGGATCCCATCAGCTGAGTCTTCATCACCATCCACAATGCCTGGGCTGTTCTGGCTCCCAGTCTCGGAGGCATCATCCACAGCCACCAGGTTGGCTCACTTCCAGCTGTGGCAAACAGAGCATCACGAGAGACAGGGTAGCAGAGGAGAGCCACCGACACAGGAAGGGGCAGGGCCAGTCAGTGCCAAAATCCCTCCCACGCCCTGCACCCAGACCTGTGCTTGTTTCTACTATGCCTGAAATCACAGCCCTTCAGTGGCTCAGCCCACTGGGGAAACTGGGTTCCTCTGAGCCACCCTTGTCCCCAGCGCCCACCAGCCACCAGGCCTGCTATCCAGGGGCCACAGCACACCAGGCAGAAGCAGTGGTTCTGCAGACCTCGGGGACACATGCGCTTGTCTCTGTTGCCATGTGTCCAGGAGAGGAGGGGGATGGGAGAAATTGCCTGGTCCTGCCGGCCCTACCATGACAGCGGAAGGGGTCTCTGCACTCCAGGGATGCCCAGGCAGGCTGGACAAGGAAGGCAAGGGCCTCAGGCAGGGTGGAGAAGCGTCTTCCGGGTCTCACCCCCTCGCATCCCTGCTCACCACGTGTCTCACATGTGTCCAAGAGTCGGCCTGGTATGCACCTACTAAGGTGAGCAGGTATTGCACACTGACCCCATGAGCCCAGGCCCAGGCTCTGCTGCAGCCTTGGCACTGTGTCACCACCCCACGCCCCTGCCAGCTCCACACCTGTGCTGCTGCCCCGGCCCCCACTTCCCAGGCCCCCTCTTCCTCCAGGTGCTGTCCTCTCGGCTGTGTCCCCTGGCCACCCCGCCTCACTCACACAGGGGCTGCGGCTGTGTGACAGCCAGACTGAAGGGACTGGTGGGGGTCACACCGCAGTGAGTGGGCGGTGGCTGGGCCCCAGGACACATCCCCAGAGGGAAGGGAGAGGGGACACCCTCTGTGACTGTGACCCAGACAGACATCTCAGCTCCGGGATCCTCTGCAACACCATGCCTGCTCACCTGGTCAGACTGAAACCTTACTGAATAAACCGCAACTAAAACAAAGGTGAAAATAGAAATACAAAATTAGAGGAGGGACTGGGGTGTAGCACAGTGGTGAACACCTGCCAGCAGACTGGCTTCCGTCCCAGCACTGCAGGCCCAACAGAAACAGTTAAAAAGGTGCAGGACGCAGCGGCGCGTGATCCCAGTGACTCCAGAAGTTGAGGCAAGAGGACCGCTTAGAGTCTCTTCTGGGCACAGTGACACCTAGGCTCCAAATAAATACGTTAAAAAGAAACAAGGATGTCAGGCACCAGGCACGCACCTGTGATGCCAGCTACTTGGGAAGCTGAGGCAGGAGGATCTCAAAGTGGAGCACAGCCTGGGCCACATACGGAGACTGTCTCAAAATTGCAGTAAAGAGGAGTGAGTGGCGGGAGCCCTGATTGGGTCTCAGCTCTGAATGTGAATAATAAGGTGACGAGGAACAGATGGGTGGCGCACACCACCTCTCCCTCAGCAACAGCAGTGAGGACGTGGGCCAGATCAGGGCTGGGGCGCCGTCCTGACCCAGTCCCCTGTCCCCACAGGAGGTACTGCAGGTTTATGGACTCGGACAGGTACAGCATGGTCTCTGTCGCCGCCTGGCGGCCTCAACAAAAACTGCACTCATACCAAGGCCCCGCCCTCCACATGAGTAAACTGAGGCCAGGCAGCTTCTCAGTCCACAGCTTCCATCCTGAGCCCCCGAAGTTCCCACTCTAGCCTCGAGCACCCTGTGAAGGCAGCAGTGTCCCCAGGGCCCCAGGGGCATCCGCACCACAAGGGAGTTCCAGGCAGAGGGCCTGGGACCAGGGGAGGGGACGCTCCTCCTTGGGTCCCACAGCCTGTCCTAGAGGCCAGGAGCCCCATGACCCAGCTGTGTTCCCCACCACTGCCTGAGGCCTGGCCCGGCTTGGCTAGTTGGGTGTTGTGTTGTGTTTTGTTTTGAACTTGAACCTAGGGCCTTTGCCCAGAGCTGCATCCCCGACCCTTTTTAAAAACTATTATTTGCTGTAAGACAGGGTCTTGCTAAATCATGAAGTTGCCCAGGTTTGGCTCCAGCTTGGGATCCTCCTGCCTCAGCCTCCTAGAGTGCTGGGATTAGAGGCCTGGGCCACCATGCCCAGCTGGGATGCATGTGTTTTACACACAGCTCTCAAATGTGGAGTCTGGTGGACTGTTTTGCACTCACACCCCATAAAGTTCCCAGAGGACATGGGACTTTCCCAGTTCCTGGGAAGTTCCAAGGCCCAGTGCCCAGCTCATCCTGGGCCGCCGTGTTTCCTATCCTCAGAACTTTGCATTTCCCGGGTGTCCCATGAGTGGCCACAGGCAGGACATGGCCCAGGAGGGGTGGCCGAGCACAGCAGGGCACGTGGTGTCACGTGCTGGGCTGCCTAAGTCTACGTCTGACTTCTGCAGTAGAAACGAAGTGGTTTTCCAGAACAGCTGCCAGCCTTGGCCACGTCCCCTTTATCTCACCCGCATGTCTGGTGTGGACTCTGGAGCCTCCCCCGCTGCGCCCCGGTCCCTGGTGTCCCGAGGCTCCCCTTCCTGCCAAGGAGCACACATGAGACTGAGACGTGCACATGGCCCAGCTGGGGTTGGAGGGCAGCGCCCTGCTCTGGGCTCACAAGTGACCACGCCCAGCCAGAGAGCGACAAGGGGAAGCTTAGGGAAGAGGCGGAGATCTGCCTCCCGGCCGCCACCAGGACCTCACGGCAAAGGGACCAGCAGCAGGGGTGCGAGTAACCGCTGCAGGTTGGTGGCCCTGGTAGGTGTGGTCTGGTTGATGGGCACCTCAGGACCACTCTCCCTAGCCCCAGGCACCGAGTCGCTGAGGTGACACCTCCAGAGGGCATCTTGTCGAGGATGGACTGATCCAGGGCCACCACGGTTTGGGGATTGCTTAGCCCCTGTCACAGGGGTTGACCCCCCACCCCTGACCTGAAAGGAAGGGACATCACAGGGAGGGCAGGGTCATAGCCACCTCCCCAGCCCTGCCTCCACCTCCCCTGCCTCAGGTCAGAAGCTGGGGGCTGGGTCCCCTGGGCGCCATGTGTGTGGCTGCCCAGCCTCCCCCTCAGACAGGCTGACGAGGTTGATGCCAGGCAGATGGCGAGCAGATCAGGACACTGCGCTGAGCTCCGGGTGCCTTGGCCTCTGCAGGTCTTTCCTGCGCACCGTGTGCCACTCTGGCCCCAGACGCTGCCCAGTGGGGCATGAAGACACCCGGGTGACGCCTTAGCCGGGGAGGGCCTGTGTGTGTTCCATGCAGGCATGAGACCCAAGGTCTTCACCCGAGCTACATCACAGCCTATTTTATTTTGTTTTCATTTGACAAGTCTTGCCAAGGTGCTAACTTGCTCAGCCTGGGCTCAAACTTGCAACCCTCCTACCTCAGCCTCCCAGAGTGCTAGGACTGTAGACTACCCACCCTGCGCCCCATAGACCTGGGTGCTACGAGGCAGTACCCTGGGGAGAGAGAACAGGCTCTGTTGGAGGGTGCTGGCCACTCACACCGCAGGCAGAGGGGCTGCGGGATCAGGCGGCTGTGTCCCTCTAATAGCCTGCAGTTGGCGGCCTCCCCACTGTCCTGATGTCACGCTGTGCCGCAGGTGGGTGCCGAGGGTGCGGGCGGCTGCGAACAGCTCTGCCCACTCCGGCCCTTCCTCTTCCTTCCTCCTTCCTGCTCCTGGTGCCCGGACAAACATCTTGTGCCTGATTCTGCCTGGGTCAGTGCTTCCGGCCTCAGTGCTGGCGAAGCCACTGGGGTCAGTGGGGAGAGAGTGAGTGGAGAAGGGCCTCGCCCTGCAGGCCCCTGTGTCCCGGAGTCTCGAGGTCCTGCCACCTCGAGCTACGAGCGCAGCCCCGTGGGCTCAGTACCCATCGGATTCCACCCTATGCCCCAAGGGCAGATGGAGCTCAGGCAGTGAGGTGCTCTGCTCCCCGAGGGGCCACAGTGCAGGGGCCGTGGTGAGTGCAGCACGGCAGCCCTGCCACACGCCCAAGCCCCCTCCTGGACACAGGTCCTGGGCACAGATCTCAGACGCTGTGCTGGGTGCTCATCCGGCCAGGCACCCCAGGGGTCAGAGCGGGACAGGAAGCCTTGGGAGCCTCCTGCCAGGCAGCCGAGGCCCATGGGCCACTTCCTGTTCCCCTCATTCTGAGCCTCCTGTCCCCCTCGTCTGCTCCCTGGGGTGGATCCAGGAGTGGACACTTCCTGCCGAGGAGAGGAGGGAGGTGGGTTGAAATTCGAGAGCCGTGCACAGCGGTAGCCAGATGTGCGGGGGACGCTGCCTGCCATCCTCCCTGGCCGCCCCTGCAACCCTGGCCGCAGCTGCTGGGCTCTGTGGGGCACATAGGGGTTCTCCACCACGGGCACCGACCCCTCCCCTCCCCTCCCTGCGGGTCTGCTTAGGTCCACTGTCCCGTCCTGTCCAACGTCCACAGGCCGAGGTTTTGCCAAGGAAACCCCGGCCGCAATGAGCTTGGCTTTGTGTTTGAGGCAGGATTTGGAGCCTGGACAACAGCACTGATGTTATCTTCCTTCTGAGCGGGTTCTCTTCATCGGGGAGCGGGGGCCAGGCTCCTGCCTGGGCTTCCTTCCGGCCTGCGGATGATGAGGGGAGGTGGGGAGGAGGAGATGACTGCCCTGCGTCTGCACGCCAGGGCGCTCCCGCGGGCCTGCCTGGGGAGAGGCTGCGCCGGGCCCCAGAGCGACACCCACAGAGGACTCAGGGGCCTCCGTCTACCCAGGGGTCGTGATTTGGGGCGGGGCTGCTGGAGAGAAAGCCAAGCGGAGGGTAGGCAGACTCAGAGGGAGGCCTGGGCCGGAGCCCATTGCTATGCGACCCTGGGCACAGTATGCCTCTCCGGGCCTCAGCGTCCCTCTCCCTGAGGCAGCAGAGGCCGCCTGGCTGAGCTGCTGCGAGCATCCCTAGGGGGTGAGGCGGGACCCCTGCACACAGGCCGTACCCCACCTCCCAGCAGCCCCGCCCGGCCCCCCAGTCACACGGCGCAGCGTGAGGTGGGCACTGCGGCGTGTGGAGGTCCAGGCCCCATGCGGGTGTCCTGAGCCCAGCCCAGAGTGGCCGAGGGCCGGCGAGGACAGAGAGGGCCAGCAGGGCCGCCGCCCAGGCCTTGTGTCCCCCGTCCTGCCCGACCTCAGGCGCAAGCTCATCCCCAAGGCCAGCGTTCACCGGACAGCAGCTGACAATCACATGGTGCCTCAGCAACGCCTCCCGACAACCAGGGAAACTGAGGCACGAGCCAAAGCAAAGCCTGAGGGAGCGGTGGGTGGGGCGTTCCGCCGGCACACTCGGCAGCTGTAACACGGGTCTGGGGTGACCAGACGGGGTGCCTGCCCTGCTTCCCTCCCCGTCTGTGCTTTGGGCTTCAGGGACGTGACAGGCTGCAGCCCATGTCCCCACGACCCAGGGCCCCTACCCGTCCAGGCTGTGGCTGCCACGCCTTGGCCTCCCCCCACACAGCACATCCCCCGCTCATAGCTTCTCCTCCAAGTTTATTTTCTGAGATACGGCCTCATGTTTTAGCCCAGTCTGGCCTTGAACTCATAGTGATCCTCTTGCCTCAGCCTCCAAGTCCTGGGATCACAGGGGTGCACCATCACACGGAGCTCCCATTTATTTTTAACACAAATAATTCTTGGAAACCTAGAAAATTCATACAAAGCCCACCCCCATCCAGGGGTCATGTGTCTGGGGGTTCCACTGCCTCTCCTGAATGTGCCTCACATCCCTGGAGGTGGTGCCCTGCCAAGACAGGGGGAAGTGAGGCTGCGGGGGAGGTGCAGCCCAGCCCATGGGAAGCAGAAGCGCCCACACCATCTGCCCCCCCCCCCGCACCCACAGTGCAGACCGGCTGGGTACACCCCGCCCACCCAGCCACCCCAGGCTGTGGGAGAACAGCCCCGCCCCTCCCGGGAGCTCCACCTGGCCAGTGGGGCAGGGGTTTGGGCCCGAGGGTGACATCCGGACCCTGCAGCTGCCAGTCACCACCCACACTTGCGCACCTGCTCATGGCCCCAGCAGTTGTGGAATCCCTGTGACCCGGGCTGGCCCTGGCCTCTGTGGTGGGCCCAAGCGCCCCTCTGCTCATGGGGGTGACGGTGACCACTGCAGGTCCCAAGTGGGGAGGACGACGATGCTGCCCTCACCGCCTCTGTCCCCACCCCACCCTGGCCTCCTTCCTGCAGCGGTGTCACCTCCACCACCCCTCGCGAGCACCGCTTCCTGCTGGTGCTGGGGGAGGCTGGGCAGGCTCGGGAGCCGCTCATGGCCACCCCCACCATCACCTCGCGGGGCAGGGCGCGGGCGTGGAGGGCCTGGCAGGGCGCCTTGTGCCCTCCACAGACATCGATCACAGATCACACTGCAGATATTGCCCCCAGGCAGGGGCTGCACGGCGCTCCCAGACTGCAAGGCACACAGAGCTGATGAGGGAGCATCTCCCGTTTTACCCAAGCTGGCTCCAGGGGCTGAGCTTGCAGAAAGTGGACAGGAAAGGCCCCTCGGGAAGTGGCATCTGGCTGGAGGGACGACAGATGGGGGAAGGGACAGGATGTCCGGGCTCCTGGGTGGTGGGGACCTGAGGATTCGAGAAACCAGGACATACCGGCTGGAGCTCTGGCTCTGCTGCTTGCCCAGGGGACACAGCCATTTGGGCTAGGCCCGGGGTGCAGGGAACTTTCACTTGAAAAAAGCAGGCAGGGACAGCAGAAGTCAGAGCAAGGCCTGGAGCATCTGCCCAGGCCCCGAGAGTCCCCAGCCTCCATCTCCCCCAGCTTGGCGAGAGCGAAGGCCAAGGGCCAGTGGCTTGGGCGTGAGACCCCACCCCTCTGCACGTGCTGCCCCCCACGGGTCCCCCTGATGCCCCCACCTAGCACCATGTGGCAGGGCCTCACCCTCAGCCCAAGCCACAGTCCCTTTTGTCCAGGTGGCCACTCCGCACATGCTGGCAGCTTCTATCCAGATGGACGGGTTTCCCCAGCTGAGCCAATAGGCCTGGCCCCTGCCATGTGCCAGGCAGAGGTGCCCATCTCTACCGCCTGCACTGGGCACTGCAGGCACAACCAGCAGATGCCACCAGGCAACCTACTGCCCTGCAGGGAGCCTGCGTGCAGAGGCCTATGCCCTCTCCAGCCAGTGGGAATGATAGGTGGGGCCTGGAGCGCAGAGAGCACGTCATCATGCATTTTCCTGGTGAGCCTGGGTGAATCGAGCCCCTGCCGGTAACGGGACACAGGTAACCCCTGCATGGCCCAGCTTGAGTCACACCTGGCAAAGGAGCCACTGCAAGACCCACTGTCCCTGGTGGGGCACAGGGCAGTGAGGGTATCCAGGGTTGAGGGGTTGGGACTGGGGGACACCAGGGCACAGCCAGGGGTAGGACTGGGGGACTCCTGGGCCTCTGGGTGCAGCTTCTCAGTAGGGACGGGGAAGTACAGGCCGGGGATGGCGGCTCATCCCAGGACAGCTGGCTGCGGTCAGCAGGGCCGCTTTTGAGTAAGGAGCAGTGATGTCACCCAAAAGTCCCTGAGGAACCACTTCCAAGTTCCTCAGCAGACGGGCTCCACCAGGGGAAGCCAGGCTGAGCTGCCGCGCGCCTCAGCACGGAGCACTCCCAGACCAGGGCTGGGCCACGCAAGGTCAGAGCTAGCACTCAGGGCCCCAGGAGACACACAAGGTCAGAGCTAGCACTCAGGGCCCCAGGAGACACACAAGAAGGAAACACGTCTGGAGCAGGCCAGGGAGACTGAGGCAGACCTGGGCCCTGCTGGCCATGCATGGGAGCCCCATGTGAGCACTCAGCCCTCGCCCTCCCTTTCCCTTTGCAGACCCAGAGCCCAGGTGGGTCCTTCTGGTGTCACCAAGGGGGGCCCTGACAGGGCGGCAGCTCTGTCTGCACAGCTGCCTGGGGGTATCAGGGGAGAAAAGGCTTCTCCAATGCTCATGGAGCATGTGGGGGAACATGTGCCTGGCCAGGGCTCAGATACCCTTCTGGGTCAGCGCCTACCAGCAAGTGCCAGGCCCTGGGTCCCCTCCCAGGTGCGGCAAAGGAAAGCAGGGCTCTGCCACCTCCAGCTGGTGGGTATGGGCAAATCACGCCCCCCCAGCATCCCCCCAACCCCGCTCATAAATGGGGGGATCAGGTCACCATGGGAGGGCTACTGCAGGTTTAAATAAACTCACGTGTGCCAGGCACTCAGGCCTGGGTGCCTCCAGAAGGGCCGAGGCGCCTCAGCTGCCTTCATTTATTCTGTCTGCAGCCTCTGTGCCACCTGGCCAGGACTCAGTTTACCCGTCCAGCAGCCAGTGGCCCTGGCTCTCTCACAAAGCCTGGCCGGGAAGTGGCGCACACAGTAGGACCATACACCCCAGGCCTCCCTCCTGTCCTGTGTCCTGTCTCAGGGCTGGGCCGTGGGTGGAGCCGGGAGCCCTCTCGGTGGCGCTGGACAGAGGCCTCAGTGTGGAGCTGTGGCCCAGCACAGCGGCCCATGACGGGGTGTCTGAGAATGCCGCCCATTGTCCCCGCACAGAGCACAAAGGCTGGGGCTGAGGCCAGGCGCCCGCCGTGGGCGTGTGTCCCCCAGCCACAGAGGGCAAGGACACGAGTGTCAGAGGGCACCGCTTGCACCCAGGAATGAGAACCATTTCCTGCACCCCAGGGGTGGCAGGAGGGTGCTCTGGCACCTGGGGTGCCCAGGACATGGGAGGAGGAACCCGGCTCTCCGCGGAGCTGGGGCCCATGGGGAGCGTCTGTGATGAGTGTGCGCCGTGACTTCAGGCATCCCCCCAGATCACAGACACGGGGGGTCGCGGACAGGTGCCACCTCGCTCACTGCCAGGGCTCAGAGCCATGGCGAAGGGCAGGGCCAGGTGAGTAGGGAGCCGCTGGCCGGGTCCTGGCACTGTCTTCAGCACCTTCCTGCCCATGAGGCGCAGGGAGGAACCGCATGTCAGAAGTGCTTCCTGCAGGGAAACGGCGGGCCGGCGGGCGGAAGGCGGGAAGGGGACAGGGCGCGGGCCAGCTCGCCCACTGTTGTTTTTCCAGTTGAAGAAGAAAAACATTTCCACCTCCTCCCCCTCCCCGGCCCAGACACTGGGGTGGCCTGCGCACGGAGGGGAAGGGCTGGGAACGGGTGTGGGGAAGGCCCACCCGCCACCCCAAGACTGGACGGGGACGTCTCCCACACTGATGTCACCTTGGTGTTGCATGAGGCCCCGTGCCCGGCGCCAGATTCTCAGGAAGTCCCCGTCACTGTGCGCGTGGAAGGCAGCGGGCACCACAGCAGGCTGTGAGCTCTTCCTACAGAGGAGGGACAGTGACACACGTAACCACCACAGCCCATTTCCACAGCCACAGGCGCTCGCCTGCCTGGAGTTGGCACCTGTGACACACCCTCCCCTCAGCCCTCAGACCCCTTTGGGAGCGTGCCCTGGCACCCAGCACGGCCAAGACCTGGGGTGGGCTCCCTCCTCCTCTGCGCCCTGCCCCACCAGGAGCCCCAGGTCTGCATTCTATTCCTCCCCTGCTAGCGCCTCTCTGTCCTCCACCCAGGAAAGGGCTCGAAGACCCTGGCCCTGCTGGGTGGGTGTGGATGCAGTGGCGCTGCTGGCCTGGGCTTTGGCCTCCAGTGGACCAGGGCTTGCCAAGTGCCTGTGACATTTGGCCTGCATGCTCTGTTAGGATGGCTCCCAGGGGTCACAGGGGGCCTTCCAGGGGTGAGAATGCCATTAGGATGGGTCTCTTTTTTTTTTTTTGCATTTTTCCTTTGAGAGAAGGTCTTGCTGTGTGATCCCGGCTGGCCTTGAACTCAAGTGATCCTCCTGCTTCAGCCTCCTGAAGGCTGGGATGACAGGCATACATCACCACGCCTGGCAGGATGGTCCCCACCTTACAGGCAAGGACACTGAGGCTCAGAGAGGGACACCTCTGCCTGTGGTCACACAACACCTCCTCCCTGCAGTCTGTGCGAGGAGGCCACTCTGGAGTCCAAACCAGCCGGACACCCCATGGAGGCCCCAGTCTTGATTAGCGGCAGGAAATCGTCCAGGGCCAGACAATGGCTGTGGTGAGCGCATTTTCCTCAGGGCTCTGTGGGGGGAGCTGCAGGATCGGAGGGAGAGGAAGGAAGGAAGGAAGGAGGAGGAGGGAAGAGAGTGGAGGAGATGAAGCTGGGGCGCAGAGCCGGGGGAGGGGCACAGGTGGCACCGTGGCGCAGGACCACCACCACCACCACCACCCCGCCCCCCGGCTGGCCGGGTGTGCGAGGGGGCCTCGGTTTCCGGCCCGTGCCTGCGAGCAGCCTCGGGTGCTGGGCACAGCAGAGTCCTGCCCTTCCTTCCTGCAGGGCGGGGCGCACGGGCCTGAGCTTCGAGGCCCCCATGCACTGGGGCCCTGCCCTCTACCCCTGGGTCTCAGTGGCTGCATCTGAGAGCTGGGGGAGCAACAGCCCGACTTGAGAGCGAGTCCGGGTACCGCCTGTCCCGTCGTGGGTCCCCTCAGTCCGTGCGCAGTGCCCGGTCGGTGCCCACGGAGCGCAGCTCCGGGAACCCAGACGCGTCCTCGCTAGCAGACCCCCGAGCCCTGGGCCCAGCTCCCTGCAAACCCGTCCTGAAGGGCCTAGAGTTCCCGTCTGGTGGCCTTGGGGTGCCGTGCAGGGGCTGGGGTCGGGGGGAGGGGGGCAGCGAGGGGTGGAGACAGGCCGCGCAGGGGACGGGAAGGGGACAGGGATCGCGCCAGGCGAGTTCTGGCGGGTAACGGGCAAGCGGTGGGGAGACGGTAGGGGACCGCGCGCGGCGTGGGGAGGGTGGACACGCGCGGGAGGGGCGGGGCCCGGAGTCCTGGGGGCGGGCTGG